AACCATAAAATTTATGCCTACCTTTGCTTGGAAGAAGCTTGCAGCACCGAGAACACCTTCTTTGGATACATCAACACTGTCGGCTAGAGTTTGAAACACCTGAAATTAACGCTTAGAATCATAAGAAGTCAAGTATAAAAATATGTAGGTTTATGTGTATACCTCTGAGCATCCGAGTTGATTTTGAGCAGATAAGCGGAAGATAAGGAAGAATTCTCGTAACGAGATCTTGTTGTCTTGATCCTCATCAACCTGAGAAAGATTTTGGAAGGAAATGCATAAAATGAACTGAGAATCTGTTAACAGAGAAAACGATTAGGTACTAAGTCAAAATATGGGAGAAAGCAGAAATATTAGTATGAAAGTAGCAGAAACAAGTAGTATTATCAGTACCTAAAGCCTTTTTGATGAACCACCATAGGATATTCAATTTATGAAATTTTTTCGTGATAGTAAAATGCTTTACTCTTTTAGCCGACTCATTTTTTAAATATGTTTCTTTCTCATATTCTATGTCGAATGGATATGATACTTCCAGAAGCCAATCTTAGATAAGTGAACTCGTACCTTTCTTATGATTTCCTTTAAAGCGATGTGAGTTTGTGCTTCACCAAGCTTCTCCATCATTCTTTTTAACTCGTCGAAATCAATAAACCCATCACCATCTTCATCATATCTAAGAATAAATAATATTGTAATAAAAAATAAAACAAAAAATTTGGATGTAAACTGACTTTTTGAAGGTCTCATTGAAGAATCTGATTTGTTTCCTGGAAAATTCGGAGAACTCAGCGTATAGAGAGAGTTTCTTGTGTATCATCTCAGGCATGGTTTCGCCTAAAAATGGAAGAATGACTCATGGATAATTTGAGATTACTTGAAGAGCGAGTTATGGTTACAATCTTGACGATCCTTCCATAGATTTGCGTATTCACTACTAATATATATTATTTTAGGATATTCTGAATCTGGAAACTCTGCCAATTCGGTCCTTCAGAATTATATTTCTGGAACTTGAAATGCGATTTCATGGGAAGTTTTGTAAATCACTTTTGTTCGTCTTGCAGTGCAGGAAAGGAACAGAGTTTTGAAGTTTTCCTAACAGATAAAAAAACTTGTGTTTCTTACAACAGTCTGATTGTACCATACTACAAAATCTAAAAATGCGAAGGAACATATAAATTTCAAAGCTGTCGTGCTGTCTCCAAGCCCGTAGCTAATCTTTGATGAACCCGAAATGTGATCGCTTTCTCCGGATGACATATGGTCGAGTGTCACCCTGGGATCGTTAGAGAATTA